TATGCTTTTAGGGTGACATTTTTCCCTCCTCTCAAGAGGGCAAGATTTGATGCCCCCAGTACTTTTTGGTCGACGTCCGATGGCCAGGTTACTTCTCAGGAGCAGAATTCGGTGGTGCTCTCACTTATTTTCAGACTATGACTACTGTGTGTACCAGAGCTGACCCTTGTACCACATAGCTGCCCTACTTCTAGTAGTGGCTCGTGAGAGAAGTGCTAAGTTGGAGATTGAGGTTGCTTGAGAGCAGATGTAGGATTAGGCCGAGTTTTTTAGCGACTCGCGAAAGAGCGCGAAGTTGGATACATAGACTGCTTGGGGAGTAGAGGTAGGATTAGGCTGAGCTTTTGGCGACTCGCGAGAGAACGCAAAGTTAGAGACTGATAAGGTGATTGTTTGCACGAGAGAAAAGTCAGAGCTACGAGTGTACCGTAAAAGGGCCGCAAGAGTTGAGGCTAAGCTACGTATAGCTTGGAAGAGGACTGTCGTGGTAGAGGCTTATTCCATTGAGATGAAGATGAGGAAGAAGGCTGTTAAGAAAGCCATTGTAGACCCCTTTATTGATGGTTATGGAGAGCTTGACAACTTTTTCTGCTATTGATTTCTCTGATTTTGTCCTATATGAGGCACCAAGGATAGATGGTGACGGACACATCCTTGATGATAGTGGCTCGGGCAGTAGTGATTAATTGTCAGGAATATGACGATTTTTATCTTTTTGTCTACCATATTGGTAGGTCATGTTCTGACTTTTGTAAGTTGTTTATAAATTTTATGAAATAAAAACAAGACAGTTTTAGCTACAATAATCTTTGTAGAGTTTTATTTCATCAAATAATAAATAACATAATAAATCAACTAAAATAATAAAGGAGAAATAAAATGAGGGCTGCCGGCTTGTACTCGTTTTGATGATAGCTTTTCAGGTGTTCGGCGTCTCATAGGGGGGCTAAGGTTTTCCTATTTTCAATGTGTTGTCATACCAAACACTTCCACCTAGAAGGCCTCTTAGGGTTTCTTGGTCCTCATAGAAGCCACGTAACATTCTCTGGCAGAGACTTGGTTTTCTCTAACTTCTCCGATTCCACAGAGGGTAAGAAAACGAAGAACAAGGTGATAGATGGTTGACACTGCCCTTAAGGTGTTAAGTGCAGGGCGTCCAAGTATGATGTTATAGGCAGAGGGACAGTCTAGCACTATGAAGGTTACCATGATGGTGGAGCTTCTTGGTGTTGTACCTGCTGTGACTGGCAGGATGATGGAACCCAAAGGATAAACTCTTTCACCCGAAAATTCAATGAGGGGCGTTCTAATGGGCTGTAGTCTTTCCCTGCCTAAATTAAGGTTGTCATAGGCTGGTGCAAATAGGATATCGGTAGAGCAGTCACTATCCACCAGAATTCTTTTGGCCTGGTAGTTGACCATCATCATGGTTAACACTAAAGGGTCATCATGGGCATGTTGAATCCTATCTAGGTCCTTGTCTGAGAACGAGATGACATCTTCCTCTCCATGCCAAGGCGTCTTCATCGGGTGATGATCATTTGACTTTGTCTATTTGGCACTCCTAGCATGCTCCTTTCTGACTGAGTGGGAGTCACCTCCTCCTCCAAACCCTCTGATGATCATCTAGATTTCTTCAAGGGGCTGTTGACGCTCTTTGTCAACCTGGTTCCTCTCAGGCGGAGGGACTTGTCCTCTGCCAGCAACGTACTACCACAACTATCCGCATTGTATGAGTTTCTCGACTTGCCTCTTGAGATCAAAGTAGTTATCAATGTCATGATCATGGTTACAGTGGAAATGGTAGTACTTCCTTGGATTTCTACGATTTGGGGCGAACTTCATTTTTCCCAGCCAACATATCATAGGATCATCCTAGATTTGGAGCAGGATATACTCAACTAATGTATTAAGAGGTATAAAGGTTTGTTGCTCTCTAAAGAGTATGGGACCGAAACGATCCTTGACTTACACTCTTTTCATCCTATTTTCTTACTTTCCCCTTCTCTTCTGTCTTCACGGGTGTTCTTTATTTTCTCACTCCCGCGGAAGGACTGACCTCGCTTGGCCTTAGTGACGTCCTTGTCATTCATATTCTTTTGTGCCCTAGATAACACCTCGGGTATGCTTGTTGGTGGTTTTTTCAAAACAGAAAATATAAAGCTCGACGAGCGTAGACCTACAATAAGAGGGGCCATGGTTACTTTGTCGTTTGGTTCCTCGATTTGGAGTGCCTCCCCATTAAAACGAGCGAAGTAACTCCTTAACTTTCATCTTGATCCTACTTGATGGTGAGTAGGTGGGTAACTGACTTCTAATGTTGGCGTCCCCCAATAAAGTGAGATACGAAAGACTTGCTTAACTCCACAAATGAGTGAATGGAAGAAGGCTTGAGCTTGGCAAACCATTAGCGTGCGAATCCCTTGAGTGTGGTAGAAAAATCTCTGCACATGATCTCATTAGGTATGTTATGGAGTTGTATGAGAGACTTGTATGTGTTGAGATGATCTAGGGGGTTATTGGAGTCATCAAAGATCTCGATGACCGACATCTTAAACTTTGAGGGTATGGGGTAATTGACAATATTTACAACAAACGGAGTGTCAATACGCCTTACCTAATAATCCACCATTTTTTGTGCTTATGCTTTGATGGTGTTGAGGGCATCGCCAAGCTGGTTTTGTAAGTCCTTGATCTTTTTGTCCCATTGGTTAGGGACATCATATGTTGGATCATTATAGTACTTTTCATGATCTATGTACTGGTTCTCTCCCTCATCCTCCTACCCAGGATGGTTGGCTACATGTGGAACAGGTTCATGAGAAAGGGGAACATGTGAGGTGCCTGCACGCAATGGGGGGACTCCTTGGTGAGGGGCACCCTGGCGTTGCATGAGGGTGCCCTGGCGGGTGCCATGGTGGGGAGCACCTTGGGGCCTAGAGTGGGGAGGTTGTGGCATCTCTCCAATTAGAAGGAGTACTGCACCCACAGGTTGAGGGGCGGCGCCTCTTAATGTAAGCATCAGTTGGTTTTGGCTTCCCAACAACTGCATGGTCTCTAAGAGCTGTTGCCTGACCATGAGAGTTGTTGCAGTGGATGGTTCCACTAGTGCAGGCAGAGGCAGAGCCTCTTCCTGGCTGGTTGGGTTATTGTTCTTCAGTTGTTGATTCATCGACCTGGTTGTGATTGTCATAGATTTGAAAGAGAATAACAAAATAGTAGAAAACTCAATCATTTCCCATACAAGGTGCCAAATTGATGATGCAAAAATAGACTTATGCACAATCAACAGTCGAGTATGTGATTTAGGATAATTAATGAGGCAATTAATAAGCAATTAATGGCAAAAAGGTTAATATTGGACTAACACACAGATGTATAGTGGTTCGATCATGAAGGCCTACTCCACTTCGAAAATGGCAACGATAGCCGAAGGACCTTTATTAATGAAGTAAGGTGAGAAGAGAGAGAGAGAGCAACAGTTAGCTTCAAGAAAGGTATGGTAGCAAAAAGAGAGAAAAAGTTATGTGAGAAGTGTGTAGAGAGGTGCCCTCTCATGTAGAGAGAGCTTACAATTTATAAGCATGAAACTCTTAGGTGAGGTGGTGACGTGAGGGTAGAGGTACTAGTTCTTCGGGGAAGATAATTATAACTAGGATAGGTACAATTAAAAATTATCTTGATCTTGGAGAGTGGTTATCCGATGATTGCTCCCCATTTGCGTTAATTTTCTTTGACTCTTTAAACTTTGGACTGAGCCGAATCTACGAGCTGGACTTGACATGCCTTGTAGTTAATTTGGGCTTATTTAATTAATTAGACTTGACCTAAGTAAAATTTGAGTTCATCAGATTATTCCTTTAAACACTGATAAAACAATTGTTAAATGTTAAATGACCAAAATATCCTACAACACATAAGATAAATATTACTTAGTTTAAATTATGAAAATAATTTATTCGTATAAAAGACTATACTAATATCAATCACACTGATATTAGTGATTGACTTAATGACTATTTCCTTCTATTAAACATCAGGATGCTATCGCTCTCGCTCTTTATAATTAGGCGTATCAAAATATAACACGATTTGTTAATATGATACAAAATTATGAGGAGTTTTATGGTATTGTTGGTGGTGCCAGTACCGAAAGTTATAACTTTTTAAGGTTAAGTTATAATTTCAAAGGGCATGATCGATCATGGAAAATTGTGATCAATATCATATTTTTCATGATCGATCATGACCTCCCTCGAGCAATTGTAACTTCTCCTTTCAAAGTTCTATCTTTGGCATACAAATTTTTTCGATACCATAGAGTTTCTTCGAAATTAGAGAATTTGGATCTTTTTTAAGTCGTTTGTTTTGTAAACGAGTGGACCTTATCCGACACAATTAATAAATGAATTGAATATGAATAAAGTCAATAAAAAAAATATACGACTTGACTCATTTATATATCGATTATATATGATTGATACGCAATACGAATTTAATATAAAACGATTTGTTAGGTACAAACTAAAAAATAAATCAGTTATAAATAAAATATTTATTAATATACACCAAATTTTTTGTTTTTTTGAAGTGAACATATACCAGTTAAAATTCGATACAAACATACTTTTCGCTTAACATGATTTTGGTAACGAGAAAATTCTATGGACTGTCCTCAACGAGTAGAGACACACTTATATCGCTTAGGTTCATAACTCTGAGTAAAACCAAGAGTAAATTCGGGTGGATAAACTGATTTTTTAACTCATACACCAGATAAATTAAAAATTTGTGTTTCGTCGGAGACTCAAAACTCATACCAAAAATTTAAATACGATTTATTTAAACAACTGAGATTTTGTTCTACCAAATATTCACACTATTACTCTCGGAGACTTCGAACCTTCACCTCCTGCCGGAAAGCCAGAGGCTCACGGGCCTAACTATAATATGCCAAACAGAAAACAAAATACCAACCACACAACCCTCACACTATTACTCTCAGGAGACTTCGAACCTTCACCTCCTGCCGGAAAGCCAGAGGCTCACGGGCCTTACTATAATATGCCAAACAGAAAACAAAATACCAACCACACAACCCTCGAAAAAGACGGAAATACACAAAATAAGAAACAGCATGACAACCACGTGCTCAAAGAAAACGTAAGCAAGTGTCAGATTCCAACCCTCGAAAACAGCACAGCGACACCCTCGGTATTCCTTGCCGTAATCACTCTCTCTCTCTCTCTCTCTCTCGCTTCACCTTGGCGTTTGATGGTCTCTCTCATCAGTCAGGTACTCGCTCTCTCCTCGTTCTCTGTCTACATAAATTTATTTCTAGTGTTTGATAATCTGGTGCTGTTCGACAATTCTTTGAGCTTTCTAGACTTAGTTTTGTTGTTTGTATTGATAGATTTCGAGGGACTTTTGGGTCTCTTATTTCTTGGGTTTTGACGAATTTGGAGCCATTCTGAACTGGGCTTGCTTTTGTTATTCTTAGATTGCCATAAAGATTGGATTTTTTTGGTGCTGGGTTTTCATGCATGATTTGGGGGTGGGCAGAGCTGATTATAATTTTCTCAGTTGGTTTGGTAATTAATATTGTTAATTTTTGGTGGATTTATCCTTGATTGAATTTTTGTCATATAGGTGTGTCATGTGTGGGTCTTCTCTGCCGGTTTATGTGGATCAAAGATCTAATCAATTACATTTCTAGTTATTATAGGTGAAAATGTTCATTAATTAGTTAAGTAAGTTGGTTTACTGAGTAATATATAAGAATATTGGGTGTTTTTTCCTTTAATAGACACACCATGCCGATCTGATTCAGCTCAGAGTGTGGTTTAGTCTGCATGAAGCTGGTAATTAAGGGATTAATGAATATACCCAGTTTATGTTCATATGGAGGAGTTATGTACTCTTGATTTCTTGAATGGCCAATAGGATAAATTTAACTTGGTGATCTATGATGTTTGCCTTTGGTTTTCTTACTGAAACTTTAGGATTCTGCTTCCTTACTATCATCGTATTTCACTTGTGATAAATAAGCATCCAACTGGATAAGTAACAGCTTCTGTTAGTAACATAATAGCAAGCCCGCTGGGCCAGTCCAAAATTAACCTTTTTTTTTCTTTTAGCTCTCTCTTTACATGAGCACAAAATAGTACTCTTCTTTTCATTGTATTTGCTGCAGCATTATTTTGTGATGGCACCTGGGAGTCATGTTAATCCTAAGGTTTCTCTACATTGATTGTCCTCTGAAATAAGATGGTTTTCTGTCCAGGTTTATTTTCTCAAAATGGCGGCTTAAGATGTGCAAATGGATTATATCATGAGTCATGGGAAACATGTTGTACTGATAAAATGAGTTAAAGGTGTGATTATATGTGAGCTGGATTGAAATACCTAAATCCAATCAAAATGGAGGATGAGAATGGGCTTGAGCTTAGTCTAGGTCTGACTTGTGGCGGGTCATCCGCCATATCAAAGGGTAAAAATAGCAGTTTCTCAGACACTATGACAGATGAAGGGGATAGAGGTAGCAAATTGATCAATGATTTCAAAAACTTTCTTCATGGTGGGAACCAAAAACTGGAATCTAGCATGGGATCTCAGAGAAGTGATTCAATCAAACCAGAGGAGAACTTCTTTAATAGCATTTCAAAATCTGCCATTGATGTGGATGCTTCCAAACTTCAATAGTGGAGGATTCTGGGTTACAAATGATACCAGATCCACAGAAGTTGAAGAGGAAAAGAGGGCAGAGGCTGGTAACAAACGTAAAAATTTGTTTGATGAGATAAACCATCAGAAAAAGCGTGAGAGAGAAGCTCATCATACTGATTTACATGACAAGTCAAGAACATCACATATTTCCATTACCACAGATGAAGGCTCAACTGCTGAAAATGAAGACGTGGCAGATTCTGAAGCCGAAGCTTCAACCTCAAGGCTGGCATCACACCGTGATGATGGCTGCAAACAGTACAGTGGGGGAGGATCCTTATCTGAGGTTCCTAAGAATTTTCATTGGGTTGATTCAAGTGGTGTAGACTTACAAGGACAACAGATGTTTAGCATTTCGTCAGAGAAGGAATTTAAGATTGGGAACATGCCCTATGGTGTGCAATACCAGGCTCAATCTGCAAACATCATGAATATGCCTTACTCATCACTTGGGAAGGAGTCTAATCCAAGTGGTGCACCCATACATCACATGATGCAAGTGATGACAGCTGTAAATAGTGAGAGACCAGGAACCCAACCTGTGCTTCCTGCCAATGCACCATTGATGTTTGGTTACCCTACTGTCCAGCTTCCAATGTTAGAGAAGGATAATTCCCGGGGTTTAGTCTCTCATCCCCAACAGCTCCATCCGTCCTACACTGGTAGGGATCTACCAAATTCGGGTAAGTAAAATGAGGATTGAACATATCTCAAGGTTTTGCTTTTCACTCTTAATGTTCTGTTTTTTCCACTCTTTATTCCTGTCAATATGATGGTATTGGGCAAGGCTGACCTTAGCTGAGAGAGCTGAAGGACTTTTAAGAGAGTATTTAGGGAATTTAGAGATTGGATACTTTACAACTAAGGAGAAATAATTGAGACAGACATGGTAGAATTGGTAAAAGATGTTTTTCTTTTCGTGATATTACTCAAATGTTTTTGTTTTCCTTCTTGCAGCACCATGAATTTTTAATTAGAATACTGTTGTTGGTTATTTTGCTTTTTCTTTTGATGCTTTGTTGCCTAGCATGGATGTGAAATTCGGATGGATTTAGTTTCATGTTAATAGCCATGAGATACTATATTATGCATCACATATTTACATTGTGTTGGGCCGAATAACAATCAAGAGAAAAATAGGCTTGGACAAAGATGAGGTTGGCTCCAGATATAGTAACAAGATGTTATCATGAATGTATTTTAAGGCTAAGTATTAGCAGATGAAGAAATAACTACTTCGGAAGACGAAAGAACTTTAAAGGAAGAAAAATTATTTTTGAACTTGCAATACTATCTGAAACAATTTTTTGGCAGCTGCATAATCAACTCCAAAATTCAACAAAGTCTTATATCCCAACCTTTTGGGGTTGGTTGATTTTTGTAGTAACACAACACCACAATACCATACACCATCATAATTCAGCCATTAAAACAGACAATGTTCCCATTTGCAATTGAAAAAATGGTTTCGGTATGTGCATGGGCACAAAGTGAACAACATGATTGTTATGAGCACAATTGATTGAATGAAGGCTTTCTTTTTGAGGCAAAAATTATGATAACTTGGAGATAGTTTGGGAAAGTCAAATGGAATATAGAGTTTGCATTAACACCTGTAGGGGTGTTCACCTTACCCTACGGGTAGGAAATATGCTCTTCCGTCTTCCTACCCGACTTCCTATCCGATTAATCGAGTAGGAAGTCGGGTAAACATTGTTGTAACAATTAATTTTTGGATCATTTTAACAATTTAATTAAATAACATGTACCAATTTAACAACACAATAAATCAATTAACACTAAAATCTAAAACAACTACAACAAAAATTATAATAAAACACAAGAAAGTATGAACATCAATCCACCATAATTGTTACACAAATACAATAACAATTAATTTAAGTTTAAACTTTAAACCATATGAAATACATTAAAATCATAATTGTTCTGCCTGTGGTTAGGGGTTTAGGGTTTTTTTAGTTTATATATATATATATATATATATATATATATATATATATATATTAAAAAATTATAGCGGGTAGGGTAGGATAGAAATGCGAAAATGGATGGTTATTCTGCATTCCTACCCGAAAATTGTCGGAAGACCAAAAACTCTTTCGCATTCCTACCCGATTTTTGCGGCTAGTCGTTCAGTAGGATAGGGTAGGGTTGGATAGGGTAGGAACTTGCGGCCAGTCGGAAATTTGAACACCCCTAAACACCCACACTGGGTGAGAAATTCAAAAAGAGTAGAGCAATAATCTTTTTGTCAAAAGTTCTGAAATAGGAAAGCATTGGTCTTTCTTTTTTGGCTCACAACCACATTGGTCAAATCAAGATTAGTCCACAGGAATCTACATATTTGCCACAATCAAATATTACCGAAGAAAGAAATCAAAATGGTATGGAAAAGTTCACTTTGTATTCCCAAAGAGATGGCAGTACTATTTGGATGCTTCTATATATGTGTGTGCGCACGCGTGTGTGTGAACAGGATTATAGTTCCAAACTTTTTTCTATCTATGAAAAGCAGTCCTGGTTTAACAATATTTGAAACAAGTCACACAGGTAACCAGTTGAACCAATGGTTCTGATGTTTCCTAAAGATTCAAGAGCTTTGGGAAATGCTTTTGGGTAATCATATCCAGTCTGAGTTTTCAATAATTATAGCAAATCATTGCATATAAGACATTTATATTATCCCAAAGGAAATTAACTGCATAGTCGATATTGGTTTTTAAGTTTAGATCATTGGAAAAATGATAATAGAATTCTATCTAGGGCTGTGCATTTTAGTTGGTTCTCCTGATACTGAATGGTCTAGGAGGCCAAATAGTCAAGGTTTCAAGTCTTGGGGACTGTGGCATAACATGTTCCTGTCCTTCGATGCTCATATTTCTGCGATGGAGCAACTAACTTTAGTGGGATTAGGGTCATATATGACTCAACACACTTGAGGGAGTGCTTGCAAATCTCTCATCTCTTTGGTGATGCCTTGGTAGAGTTGCCACTACTTGTTGCGTCTTCGTGCCCTTTTTTTCACCCAGTAAAAAAAAATAGTAGTTCTCCTGATGTCAGCTAATATCTGTTCAAATTTTCTCCTTTTTGGCTAATTAAAGTTTTTTGTGTACTTACCAGTGTTTAAGTTGAGACTTATTACTGTAAATGAGATTTCGTTTCCTTACAGCTACCATATGGATGTAGGTGCTGTGCACAGAAACCTTCACAAGTCATCTGAAGCAACTCAATACGATGGGACTGGGAGGACATTAGAACGAGCCAAAGGTGATTGGAAACAGCATGTCACAGAAGGAGGCACTTCTTCCCAGACAGGAGATGAAATGAAGAAGGGCAGCATGATCTTCAGGCCAAAAGATGCATCTGACCAGCCAAGAGCAGAAGGGCTTCCTTCTGAATTTTCAGGTATAAGGCCAGGCATTGCCGCAGATTTGAAGTTTGGTGGCTGTGGTTCTTCCCCAAATCTCCCATGGGTTTCGACAACTGGCCCTGGCCCAAATGGTAGGACAATATCAGGTGTTACTTACAGATGTAGCGCCACCCAAATCCGGATTGTTTGTGCTTGCCATGGATTGCACATGTCCCCTGAGGAGTTTGTTGCACATGCTGGTGAAAAGATAACCAATCCAGAATCTGGCAATGGATTAGCTTCGTTGCCAAGTAGCAACCCTGCTGCCTCAGCTCAAATCTGATTCATATATAGTATGCTTCATCCCTTGGGAAAGACTAAGCTTTTTCTTTCCGTTAGACCGACAAACTTGACACCTGATACAGCAAGGAAGTCTTTGGCTTTTGCACAATACATGTAATATTCCTCCTCACTTATCAACTATACATCCTTAAATATTATTAATTTTCCTTTCGTCAGTTGTCCCAGCTGCTGAAATTAGTATAGCATGCATATGTAATTATCCTGCAGTAATTTATTTGTCAAATAATATTTTGCAAATTACTTTTCTTGCTTTTGGACAATAGAACAAATTTTTCTTGTGTTAGTTTTATTACCATGTCCTCTTGCATTAACCTTCCAGTAAGTATAATCGAGTCATCTAATAACCTGCATTATGGTAGTAAGATTCATTGTCCAGTCTGAGGTTATACCAGTAAATAATATCCCTTGATCATCTTTATGTACATGTGTTTAAGGTTGAAAATGTGTTTAAAAGCCACATTTAAGGTTCAGTGACTATGTTAAAGATTCATCTTGTTGGTGCTAAACATAATTTGAGCATGTGGTAAATTTTAGGTTGCACATCGGAAAATAACTGGGACATTTTTGGTAGATGATGGAAATACATACTTACCATATATATGACTCAGTTTGTAGATCGTCAGTCATGATGGGTTTTTTTATTTTTTTGGTTGTAGGTGGAATGCTAAATAGTTAATTTGATCTGCCTTATTTGGCTGTTCCTCTTGAACAGATCAAAGTGGTATTTAGGAAATGAAACTGGCTCAATTTACTTCTTAGGCCAGTATCTTTTTGGTCTTTTTTCTGGAAAATTAGGCAGGTATCAATAGTGTATGGGCCAAACTTCATCTGCTTGCAGGGATGTCTCAAAATGACTGAATATCTACCCGGCACGCTGTAGGTTGTGGATGGAGGGGGTCGGGGGCTGTAGTAATTGTTGAGTGCAACCGTTACACTATGTGATATGATTTGACCATGCAATAAGAAAAGAATAAAAAAGGTAAAATAAGGTATTATCATGGAGGTACTTATGTATGACAAGACAGGATGGTTATGAGTTTTAGTGGAGTCTATTTATTAATTTGGTTATTTATTAGTTATTGTTATACCACGACATTGTCGACATAATGTAACGGTTACATCTAATATTTTTTCCGTGGGCTGGATGATGTGGGTCGTGGGTGGGGTAAACCAAGCCTACGAGGAAGATTTGGACCTGCCTCATCTTTTGAATAACCAACGACTAGAATTTTTTTTTAAAAAAAAAAAGTTTGGGTTTTCTTATTCTATTACAGGTTCTTGATCGGCCTTTGGACCAATTTTAATTAGGGTAGCCGCTGGGCCTAATCTCAGCCCATGATCATACTCGATCTGCTATATGTCTGCCCACGGGATGCCATGTGGTGGGTTGGGCTGCCAGATGAACGGGCCAAGCTCATTGGCCATGCGATTTTGTTCCTTCTTTGGTTCTTCCCCATCTTAAATAGGAGCTGGCTAATTTGTGAAGCGTAACATAAACGTTGTACCTTCTATGTAATAAAAATTGGTCCATTTTTTCCAAAAATTCATAAGAAATAAGAAAGATCTTCGAGGTCTCGCAAAAATAGATGATTTCAAGGTAAAACCACTTATCCAAGTCAATTAACAAATTTTTTTTTATCACTTAAAGTTTATAAATTGTCAAATATACGTAATATTTACGCAAACACGTGTAGAAAGGTTAATTACTAGGTCCATTTCATGATGTACACATCGCAGTATAATTAAGGATTTGATTGACATAAACAAAATAATTCAAGGACCAATAGGTAATTTAACTTATAGTAAATAGCCACGAAAAGGTTCTTGATTTCTATATTTGGGGGGGCGGCGGCGGCGGCGACTTAAGACAAACCCACGTCTCAAAACCATGTGAGCAGATCGTTATTTTTGTATTTTTTTTTTTAAGCATGTATTATCTGTGATGTGATTATACCCTTTTTTTTCTTTTCTTTTTGGTGAATCCTTACCTACTAATTGACTCTGTGGCTACCCACCCCTTCCATCCATCATCTTCGATGTGAATTCTTGTCAAACATTGGTGGATTTTGTGTGTTTGTGCTTGATTTTTTGGTGCTACAGAGTATTCGTATCAAAAATTACGATTTAATCATTTCAAACAAATCAAATTTTGACTTTTACTAATCTGAAAATTTTTTAATATTAAATGAGACTCACTATTCTCACAATACTCGATAAATAATTATCTATTATTAAAAATAATTGTGAGAAATTATGTCAAAAAAAAATCTAAATTCAACTTTTAGCATGAAAGAACCATCAAATACTCTCTCTCTTTCTCTCTAACATAGCAGAACAACTGAATCCACGTAGAGAGAAACAGTAGAGAGAAACAATATAATATCTCTGAAAAAATAGTATTATTCAATCAACTGTATAGAATTGTAACACATATGATAATTTACAGGAAAAACTAAAATCCTAAGTTTTTCAAAATAGAAACAAATTTTTAACTTTAAGAAAGTTATCTAAAATAATAAAATACATGTCTAATGAATTAGGAAAATAGACATGGTTTAGGTAGTAAATAACTCTAGAATATTCTTAATTACCTCTTACTTTGAACAAATAATAAAAATAAAATAGAATAATTGCTATTTGGAGGGGTGGGGGGGGTAGAGGAATTCAAATTGCATTGTTATTGCCCTTAGGAAACCAATTTGATTTGAAGTTAACGTGTTGAATAAACATGTTTATTATTATTTGACCAAGTTTAAGGTCAATTTGTTTGTTGAGTTTATTATAATCCCAACCGTTCAGTATTTTTGTGAAATATAATTAATTATGATTAAAACCTATAATTAGTGTCTTTAATTTGAGTGATTATTAGCTGACTGTTAAAGTGGTCCCAACCAAGATTGTGGTATGCAGTGATATCCCCTACTCCATACATTACATAAATGAATTGTTAGACTTCAATAAATCCCAATTTCTGGACTTCTGACTAGTTTAAGGGGCAAGTCATGTTACTTATAATAATAATCCTATTTAAATTTAAAATATTGATGTAATTTATTGATCTAATCAATCACTGTTATTAATTTAATTATCGATTCTCATATTTGTTGGACCCGCTATCGATTTAATAGTTGTCGTTAGTTAAGTCAGCATTTTAGGTCTAAATAACATTTTCCTACTTATAATGGATTTTTGACTAATTGTTACAATGTTATCCCTTACCCTATAACGATTTTGGCTTTTTGAGGTCAAAAGTTCAAGTTTCTTGGGGGATAAAAGTGTGATTGGTTAGTAGAATGGACCTCATTGTTTGCACGAATTGTATCCAAGTCTCTAGTGTGAGTTCGAATTTCTACCGAAGCGTAAGTATTGATTTAACAGGTGCATAAAATGAAGGATCGATTCATGCACTCGGGATTTATCTTTGGTTCTGTTCGGACTAACAAGCCTGAATGCGGTAAGCGCACTTCTAATTATTGGAGACAGGCTATAGATTTTTTCTATTACGAAAAAATAAAATAAAATAAAACACTCATAGGGTCATGATATTTTTCTCCTCTAAGTTTTTGAGTTTACAACTCTTAAAAACGAAAAAAAAATAATAATAAAGAAAATGCATATTAACATCTCAGAAATGGAGGATTCTGGAAGTGAAAGAACTAAGGACAAAATTAAAATTAGACATTATTTATATGAAGTGTTGGTTCTCGTATACAAACATCTTTACTGGTGCAGTCATGCCAAGGGATTCAACTCAAAACAAATTGGGTACCTGAAAAGAGATTTCTAGTTTTTTAATGGAATTTCGTTAATATAAAGATGCAACTCGGTTTACCATGGAACAGTACTTGAGCAACGGTCCCAAATTTTTGGCAGCCAACGAACCATTCCAAATGTATGAATATTAGTTGAACCTGAATTTTAACCCAAAGTATGTTAACATTATATTTGAACACGTATTTCAGTCTGAATTATATAACCATTTTTCAAACTTTTTGTGTGGACAATGTTGAAGTTGAAAGATTCGAGTTTGAATTGAACTCAAATGAATCTCTCCACTGCCCTAGTAAATTGCACCCTTAGTCGTGTCTAGACGAAATGATAAACTCAGAAGAAAAAAAAAGAAAGAAAAGAAAAAAAAATATTTCATGATAAACTCAAATCTTTTGAATTTAACAAACCAAACTGTCAATTTTGCCATGTCATATGACATCAATTAAATCATACATTGTCAAAGTTTAGTTAAGCCTACTGTATTGCATGAGCAAATGAAAGGAGTCAGGCACTCCCCAAGTTCTCTATTATATTTATAGCTAACAAGGCATGAGATGCCTTTAAAAACTTTGTTACAACCTTGCATTCCAACCCGGTGTAATGCCTATCATATCAGAAGTCAAATATGGTAACGTTGTTGGTAGGGTTGTCAATTTCAAGATAATATGCAAACCCGACATGAAATCTACACAATACAAACCCCCCAATTACACATGATTTACAAATGACATGAATTCGACACGGTACGGTATATACTCGATCAAACATGATTATAAATGAGTTGTGTAAGGACTGAGTAAATTTTAATGCAATAAGACTAATTTTTTAAAAGAACTTGAGTTTATATATTATACTAGTGCTATCTTGTAATTGAGTTAGGTGAGACATTTAGTCTCACACATGCCCAGGGGTGGGACCAATCAAGTAGATATAGTGTGGTCCCAACCCAAGGTGGTTGGACAATAAAGAAAAATGTCGTGTAAAATTTCTGTTTTATTCGATTGTGCAAATCTGAGTAAAGTATCAATCAATTAGGTTGAACTATTATATCCCGGGGAAAACAAGTTACTATCTTTTATACTGTGTTTCTCTTTATATAAAGAGGCACGAATCATCTTAAGAGAACGACCTATTCCGTGCCTCACTCTCTCGTTATTTTATCTTTCGGATTCATATTTCCTACACAAGACGACCCACTGGCAGTCTAGCAGCCATTAATACAAGCATCACCACCTCTCCATCACTATCAAATTCTGAATTTAAAAACTAGCACTTGTACATTAAATATTCCTCAAACTGGGCAGACAAAAAAGCTTATGCAGAGACCAAGAATATTTGCACATTAGAAGGATAGCCTTTAGAGGGAGGCATAATATTAAAGCTCTCAGGCTCAACAAATCTATGTCAAACTACCCTTTATAAAATTTCATAGCTAGCCTTCTCTTCAGACACACACATATGCATCTTCCAACAGCATTCTGGGAAAATATCAAAACTTCAATCGTCCCATGAAGCACTTTAATTTGTTCCTTTTACTTCTAATGTTGATGTTCTTTGAAGTCAAAGCACAATCTTCCTCCAGTGAGAATGATTTAAATTCCCAAGATGTCGCCTCGAGTTTTCAGCCAAGCCTAGCAGTTGTAATTGGTATCCTTGGCATCATGTTTTCTTTCACTTTTATCCTCGTGATTTATGTCAAGTTCTGCCACAGGGCATCATCTTTTCCAAACCAACAGATTCAAGGTGGACTTGTTAGATCATTGTCTCGATTTTCAGGGATCGATAAAATAGTAGTTGAGTCTCTTCCCTTTTTCAGATTCTCTTCACTTAAAGGGTCCAGAGAAGGTCTTGAATGTGCAGTTTGTTTGGCAAAATTTGAAGATGTTGAGATTCTTCGGTTACTGCCTAAGTGCAGGCATGCATTTCATATCGATTGTGTTGATCAATGGCTCGATAAACACTCTAGTTGTCCTCTTTGCAGGCACAAGATCAGTCCTGACGACCTTTCATTGGTTCAGTATTCAGATAGTTTGAGGTTCTTGTGGAACCAATCTGATCTACGAGAGGACTCAAACTTAGAGCTCTTTGTTCAAAGAGAGGATGAACATCAAGGGTCTTCGAGATTTAGCATTGGAAGCAGTTTTAGGAAGTTTCTAAAAGGTAAGAAGGAAGAAGAACTGCCAATCCAAGAAAGTTCTGAAACCGAGGAAGATCAGAATGATCTGCATAAGCACAATCACAAGATCATTGTGTCTGATGTAGTCTTCAAGAACAGGTGGAGCAATGTTAATTCCTCTGACCTCGTGATTTTGAATTCCGAAATGCTTAATTCCATGTCGAGCAATCGATTTTCTTCTTTGGATTCAAATAATGAGGAGTTTGGGACACCCAAAAAAGTGATTGAAGATGGTCATGTTATGAATATTAAGGAAGAAATGGAAAGGAAAAGAATGTTTGAGAGTAAGTTCTGCAAAATCAAGCAAGGTGATTCATTTGCCTTTCCGGGTTTTCCTACTCCTTCAGAATCCACTTCAAATTCAAGCCAAACATCAAAGGTCTTGGATCCTACCGGAAAGAGATCGATGTCCGAGATTACAATTCATCCCAGATTGGCAGAGTTTAACATGAAAAATAGTGCTAGAGAGTCTTTTCCTGAAAATAATGAAGAGGAAAGAAAGAGAGAACTCTGGTTGCCAATTGCCCAAAGAACAGTTCAATGGTTTGCCAATAGAGAGAAAGGTCCTCCACAATCTCAGAACACAAGACATCATTTAGATGTATAAATGGTGATTTTGATGCCTCTCAATTTTGTTATTTCCCACCATCTTTGTTGGGTTTGAAGTTCTTGGATTTCCGGTGCAGTAAGGAGGCCAGAAATTAAGAGGGAATTCAGGAAAACTGTCAGAAGACAGTCCAGTGCACAAGACTCTCGCTACTATGGCTCTCAAGAGGTTATTTAGTTTAAGATAAAAAGAAAGCACACTTTTTTCTTGGCAAAAACTTTCTATTTCCATAGTTCAATTTGAACTGCATAACATGATTGTCAATATATGATGATTTTATTTTATAAAAATTTAAGAGTAAGAATGGAACAGTCTTGTACATGAAGTTGTCAAGTTTGTTATTGTTTATTTTGAATTGCTCAACTTGAACAGAACCCATGGCCATATCCTAACAATAAAAATTATAATTTGCTTATGATTGTAAGAAAATGGCTACATGAATCCTATAGCCATGTCGATGTTGGACAAAGTCGACTTATACAGAAAAAAAATTATATATGAGTTTAGCCTTAATAGGTTCAAACTATAGTTGAAGTTGACTTGTTATGTCTGCATAATAAACGTATAGAGAGAAAAATGAATATATACGACTTTTCAACAAGGAGAGGTCGAATCTTAATCTAGGTTTTAGTTTGGGTTCCATTCTCCTTCCCCATCTCATGCATTAAACAACAACATAAAGAAAGACAAAACTCTTACATTATAAAAAAAAGGGCTTTGGGGGACAAGTATTGCATGCCACCCTGGTTTCTATGCCTTGCTTTGCTTTGCTTCTATGAAAGAACAAACAAGCAAAGCTAGTATTCTGAAGATTGGGGATTCTTTGAATCAGGCTTTGAGAATCTCTATATGTACATCCACTACCCTCAGAGCTGTTGACAAAATTAAAATAAAGTTCCAAAGCTTGAAGCTGTAGCTATTTCAACCAACATAAAAGGGTGTTTTTAACTTTTTTTTTTTTTTTTTATGTTAGGAGAGGAATCATAGCCAGTAGGACCAGTATATCATCATCTTGTATGGGAAGATCATAGCCTTTTAATGTGTAAAAAATTTCTCTCACTTGAAAATTTGATATATATATCACAAAGCAATTCTACATAGGTGGACCCAGATCCTTGGTTTTTCTAAATATTAAGCACTACTAGATCCAAATGTTTCCCTTGCCAGTACAGGGTTGGTTATTCAGTAAGTATTAAAGGAAAAATAAAGTCATATCTAGTGCAAAGCCTCCTCTGTCTACAAAAGTGTATCAAAAAGATGAGTGGTAGGCTGTGTTATTCTCGTGTTAGAAAAATTAATTCCTGAACTCAAATTCAGTATCTTTCATTTGAATGGATCCCAATACCATGGCATGTAAAATCATAAAAGTTTTGGTTATGTTTGGTTTACATCTCAAAAATTATTTTTCTGTTTTCGGGGGAAAAATTGTTTGATCAGTTTTTTTGTTTTTGAAAACTGAGACTTAGAGAACAAGTTAAAATTATTTTTTGTATTTTTGGAAATACCGTTTTCAGAATTTAGAAAACATCACCAGCGCCACCACATTTCTTTTTTCGTTATTTTTTATATTTATGTCCAAATAAATTTTACTATTTTCTATTCCGTACAATTATTTTTAAAATCATACAATCAAATAAGTTTTACGATACAAAAAACATAAAAATACAGGGCGTATTTGGATTGCATCTCAAAAAAAAAAATTTAAAAAGAATTTTAAGAAAGTGTGTTATGATATTTTTATGTTGCCACTTTTCTCAAAAACGATTTTCGAATACTATTTTTTAAGATATAAATCAAACAGAGCCTTCAATTCTAATTTCTTTTTCATTTCAAATATGTTATGAGTTATGTCCTCTCAAATTCTAGGTTTTCTATATGCCCAATTATTACCAAACCAAACTTTCAATAAAAGCACTTAGTCAACAAATCCTCAACACATTAAAATAAGTCCATGCCCCATCAATTTCCAAAACTATTTTTTAATGTATTTCTAATTGCAAGAAATATTGTATATTATCATCACCCATGGCGTTGACGTAAGAGATGAGCCCTATTTTTTTTTTGTCCCGACTTGAATGGAATCCATGAATACTTTTTTGCATGGTTTCTGTAAACTATTTTCAACTCCTATTTTAAAAATCTAATATGAGTTAAGAATAGAATAAGATAAAATCTTGGAGGTTATAATTAACTTGTGAGTATGATAAATAGTTGGAGACTCGGTGGGAGTAATTAAGTCCGTATAATATATTAGGGGAATTATATTTTATATCTCGAAAGATTTAAGATTTTTCATTTTATATCATAAAAAAATAGATTTTTCACATTGAATATTCAATGTATTAAAAGTGTTGTAATATAGTTATTCCATTAGTTTTTGTTACTTATTTTGTTAAGAATCACCCAATTGATATTAACGAAATGAGTAACAAAAGACTCCTGTGTTTTTTTATGGATCTTAGAATTTTCCTTAATCAACGAGAGTGTATACAATGTATTGTACTAGCAAGAGCATGATTGATGATTTTATACCGTAGTCTCTAAATTCTCATTTGGTCATTGGCCCTACCCCTAGCTCCTTCGCATTCTGTATCTTGTTGTTTCTTTGTTTACTTTTCTTGAAGCATTCTGAAAGAAACACATTGTAACACTTTAAATAATAAATTCAAGATATAGTGTAAGAAATTTAATTTTTAAAAGTATAAAGTAAAAATACTTAAATTTTTTAAGGTACAAAATGAAATTCAACCTAATATATTTGGGACAGGTAATGCCGCCAAATTTTGATCCCATCATGTTATTAGAGTAAATATTTAGGGCATGTTTGTTTTGAGCATTGTTATACATGATATTAAGAAATGTATCAAGTTGAAAGATTTAGATTGAACTCGAGTTAAAGTTTTATAAAGTCTAAATTACCATTTTAGTTTGTCCAGCCCACCCGAATCTGATATGTCGACCCCACACTTTAACTTAATTACCTTTTCATATAAACCCATGGATGTGAAAATTAAGAAGTGTGCATAATAAATATATCCATATGTTTCGTTTAACCTACATAAACAGAGATCACAACGGCCGTCCCTGCTTGTGTTTTAACCCTTTATCAGTCTACATCCGCTCTGCAAAGCTGAGCTCCCTGTGTGGCTCTTGATGGAATGTATCTATACCCGAACCCCCAACTTTGCTTGCTTTCTTCAAAAGCACTTGCAGGATATGTCATTCATCTCGCTCCTAAGGTATAGAGTCCTCGGAGTGTAATAACTTTTAAGAGAATGAATCGAATATGCCAGGAAATTCATTGATAATGAGTTTGCCATGTCTTTACTTTTCCTAAACAACAGGGGGGCATAACACACCTATAATTAATGAGTAAAATTACAAGTGAATATGTAAGGTAATAAAAATAAGACTGTTTAGTATCAATGCTAACTTTTTTTTTTTTTTTTATTGTAACTTGGACCTAAAAAACTACTCAGCAATACTTACATGCAAGACCAAATGATCATGAGCATGAAAAGGAAAAGAAAACATGGCCAATGTAAATACAACAAACAATTTCGTACATTCCTTCAATCCTGTATAGGTGCGTTCACAACTGATGCCCAATCAATGGCACTAAGAATACAAGGAACTAAGAATTTGAGAAGCAGTTTATTATTGCCATTACAGTCTGCTTCCTACCGGCCACCATTACATTGTTGGTGAAGAACAAGAATTTCACTCATCAGTAGGGCTGCAAGATCGATCGTTCATTTACATTTACATATAAACGTATTTACAAAAACATGGAAAAAGAAAGAAATATATATATATATATATATATATATATATACCAACTGACCTCTGCTCTAGGTAGGCATGAGCACTAAGAAGACATTTTTCACAGATGTCATAGGAATTATGTACAGAGGATCATGACCTAAAAGTTATTCCTCCTCTCTCTCTTAAATTTTAGTCGTTTATGTCTGTAGTTCAAGTGTGCTGCGCAAGTCAATGACGTGGGGACAAAAAGAACTATAGCCTGAAAGTCCATCTACAAGGCTTCAAGCTATTCTGGAGTGTTTCATGTTTTCGTTATTCCTACCAGTCTTCAAGCCATTCTGGAGTGTTGAGATCCTCCACGTCTCGAAGGGGGGACGTTGGAGGAGTTACAATGTCCTCAGAATGATTTTCGAGATGTTCATTTATACGAGAGATGATCTCTTGAGGAACAGGAAAGTCATGGTTTGTTATCCCTTTCCAATCAACACCATCAAACCACGGATGACTTTTGACAGCCTCTGCACCTTGGCTTCCGAGTCTCATGTTTTCATCAACTTCAAGAAGCTGAACAAAAACGTTCATCAAACCAGAGTTACTTGCAAAAAAAATTCATATTTTATGTAGATATTTGCTGTGATACCTTAGTGATGAGATCAACAGCTTCAGCACTGATAGTCTGTGGGACGATGAATTGTCCTTTGGCAATCTTTGGAAAGGTATCAAGTTCACTTTCTCTCCATGAGCCAAATGGCATCTCACCTTGTAGCATGAAATAGATCAAGACTCCCAATGCCCACCTGTACAATTTTCACAAATAATTTGAGGCTCTACAGATTCTTCTGCATACTAGATAACGAGTAGCATCTTTACCAGTCAGCCGGGAGTCCATGACCTTTCCCTTGGACAATTTCTGGAGCTAAAGAGTCTGCCATTCCACATATTGTAAATGTTCTCTCACCAGATAACTTCTTCCCAAATCTGAAGTCCACCAGCTACAATGCAGTAGGACAATAAAATTAGTAATCATAATGCTTTACAAGCTGCCACTCTCTGTTAGTAACAAAACAGAAGAACTACAATCAGTGTAATTTTGGAGTATCAATAAATCAGATTACAATGCAGTTGAGGGGGAACATTTGCTTGGGACGCAGCTCCATCCCACAAGATTAGGGGCAAGGCCCCTTCCCATGTCCAAGCAATTTCACATCACAAAAAATTAAGATATCAACGAATCAGATGCAGCACAAAAACTACTAGAACACCAACCTGTAAATGTCCAGTACGGTCAAATATTAGAACGTCTGGAGACATGCCTCTGTAAAGAATACCATTCTGAAATTTATACAAACAGGAAAAGAATGAAAAGTTAGAGCATCCCCACAGGTGCATCAGTAGTTGATGTCCAACTTCAGACATCAGACCTTATGTAAATCTTCCAAGGCGATAACAACAGAGGCGGCACAGAATCGTGCAGATGGCTCATCAACTGGACTGTAAAGTATTGAAGCCATTGGGCAAGCAATTTGTGTCTTCAGAAGTATGCCAGCATGTGTTTGATCAGCACAAGTGCATAGAACTTGAGGCACACAGGCCAAAGGGCCTATACTCATCATTAGGTTCTTCTCTTTTAAAACCTGTGCTTCCTTTCCAAGCTTTTTGATCTTCTGCTTTGAAAACCTTTTCAAGCTAAGCAGATTTTCTGATGAAAAATGAAAAGGAAAAATAACAATGAGTGCATGCAATTAAATTAAGTGTACACTCCCCCTATCCCAATAGGGCATATCTGCTACTCATAAGCTTTTTTCCATGCATATACATGTCATCAACTTTATAATGTAAGCCAGCCAAACGAAAGCATCACTCACAACATTCAGTGATATCAAGAATATGATCTGTAACAGCATAAACAAAAACCAACCTGAGTCTCTCAACAGTACAAGCCCAACCTCATTGCAATCCGTTGAATATGAACATGCCCTCCATTCCTAGAAAAAATTACAAGTAAACAAATTCAGATGTCTTCATCCCCTTCCAGAATGAGGTCATGGAGACATAAATCAAAACAACATCCAGTGACCCTGGACCCTTACCAAATCAGAGAGCTGAATTTTTGCAAGAGTTGAAGGATCAATGTTTTTGACAGGTTGCTTAGGAACACTGGTAGAGTAGTCCCTTGACCTAAGAATGTACCAAACACAGGATCATTAATTAATTACACCAAACAAAAACAAAACAAAGCAAAGCTTTGTCCCAATTGTTTGTAGTTGATTAAATTAAAGTTTTCCGATCACAGTCTAAAATTCATCAACCCAATTCAAATGTGTATTTCGGAATTAGTTTTATAAGCAAGAGCATTCTACACAAGATCCCGACATACTTGTGATCATCCTGTGAAAGCTTTGTCAGAGGGCCAACAATTGAATCAAACTTCTCCTTCGTTAAAACAGCACATACCACATCGTCAATAGCAACAGCACTTAAGGTGACAATATGTTCGCCCAGAAGGGTCCATTCTCCAAAATAGCTTCCCTCAGTCTTCTCCAAGGAGATCTCCTTGTTATTCTGAATATCAACATTCTGCTTCGGATTTTCAGACATAAGGCTGGAAGAGTTTGGCCTTCTTAGTGATTCCGCTTCGAAGGTTATTCTTATTTGTCCCTTCTGGATAATATACAATCCCAGGGGACTTTCATTCTGCAGACACATGAAAAGATGTAGGGAAAGGAAACAAAAAAATTGAATGTTTGCTTTTGGAGAGCATGTTTTACCGTAGCAACTATTGTCTGTCCCTTGGAGAAGGAAACTTTGGAAAGAGAATCTGCAATGTGACTCAGCTGTAAGATCGTCAACCTTGAGAGAAGATCTACCGACCGAAGCAGCTTCAACGATGACAAATTTGAAAACTCTGACACAAGAATTCCTCTAAAATCTTCTCTTTTTAGTGCCCAAAGAGTTCCACTAGTCACAGCACGAACAGAAGCTTGGAGGGGTTTGTTATACCTGCAGTTCAATGTATCCCAGTAAAAATCACAGACTGTAAGAAGAAAAAATTAATCAGGAACAGTACGGATGGCAATGCCATGGTTGACATCATTAAAGGAAACATAAGTCCCTTCCATTCAAATTCCTATCAAGAAGAGGGGATATAAGATCGTTCATTATATTTGAGAGCACTGCACCAGCTTTCCACAAAACAGGGTTATAAATCTAAAAAGATCAGCAGAGTCACTTTTACAAGTGCTAAAGCATGATAGAATATTTGCTTAAAGGTCTACTCAATCATTTTTTTACATATCACCATCAAGAACCTTCAAATTCACCTATTATCTCTGCTGAACAAACTCTAAGTCAACTTTTGGAAAGTTGAAAGACAAAATGAATTTTACTGGTGTCTAGAAACTAATTATGAACATATGATCCAGCAAGGAACAACCATAAATTACGAAGAAATATCTCACATCAGTGCCAGCTCCCCAAAGGATGATAACTTTTCAGCGGTATACTGTTGTAGGACCCTAGGCACCTGTTCATTTTTCTCCTCCTGTCATTTGTATAACCATGTTAATGATTTAAACTCCTGTCTGAAGAAATATGTGAGAACAGGTACTAACACTTCAACTGAAGTACTTTCCATTTTGATGACATTGCCAAGTGCCAAAGATACCAACTTGGTATGTTTAATTAATGATTTACTTATGTGAAATTAGACAGCAGAATCAAAAACCAATATACTGACCTGGGTTGCCAAGACCTCGAACTCTCCACTGCCAACAACATAAAAACAGTCACCTTCTCCACCCTGCAAGATATAAAAGCTATTACATTCTGAAAAAGTCTGCAATTAACAAGGAAATTATAGCATGGGAAATCCACAAACTCAGGGATGGAGTACAGCATTTTGAACAGAAACCTCATAAATACACAAACCCTCTCTAAATCCCAACACATGCTCATCCACACTAGGCATTTGTAATGCGAAGGATGACTATTTATTTGGAATCATGCATATAAATTGCCATAAAAAATTATAGTTACCATCACAGAATAGGAAAAGGATCTGGCAGGTTGACTTTTTGTGCAAACAAGGCCAAGAGACTAGGTATGAGCCATGTCCCTCTTCCAACACTTCACACAGGCTGGACTGACACTGGGTGGTCCTTTAATCCATCAATGAATAAATAAAGTTTTTTCGAGGAGTATCACTAATTATAGTGTTTCATCCTCCACAACATAATGGTCCTTTGTATTTAACTTCTTTTAGGTTATCAGTTTAAACAAATAGAGCTTCCTAACTTTAACCTACCATAACTTTGTACTCCAATGTTGCATTCGCATGGGTGATATATGGCTTGTGGACAAAGCAATAAGGTAGGTTGTCTTCGGATTATATCTTAGTTGTTTAAATATCACTATGAACTCAATACATAGGATAGCTCTATTTCTAGCTGGCTTATCTCCAGGCATTCCTATCGCCTACTTGGGATATGGCCTTTGCTACATAGTTACTGCAACCATTGGTTAGATAGAGCATCTTTTATATTAGACAATGCAGAATAATGACTCACATGGCGCCATCATAACTTTATTTAATTCCAAACTGCACCATGCTTTTATTTAGGAATTGTCCTTGCCCATCATTTTATAACCCAAGCTAGGAAGTAAATCATGAGAGGTCATCAATAAGAGCATTTCCCTTAGATTCCAAGTGGGGTTTCCATGTCATTTAGCCACATAGATAGCAATTTAAGGACTTAAAATCCTAGACTCTTACTGGGCAATCTTCATAGTTTGATCAATTCTAAATTCTTTAATCATGAAGGAATATATGGTCTCTAGATACCAGTGAAGGATAGTATAATGTTCTTGGCCAATATGTTATTGGGACCATTTTAGGGTCACTTTTCAGTATTACAAAACTCCTTGGATCAACTGTAATTAGTCGATGCGGAATACTTGGGACTTAAAAAGTCTGACCTAATGATATGGCAATTGACATAGTCCACTAGTATTATTGTTACTGCAACTGTAGGACTTTTTTATTGGGACCATATTAGGTCCAAGAAATACTATTTTCTCCAAAATTTGTTGTTTTCTAGTGTAATGCGTGTAGCATATAGATGCATCTGAGTCGCCTCCATCACACAGTTACAACAGTGGTGGTATCGCACCAAAAATTACAAGTAAATAGAGACTAGTTACAAGACGATGGCATCGATTGCCACATCATTTTATAACTCAAGCTATAAAGTAAATAATGTGAGGTCATCAACAATAGCATTTCCCTGAGATTCCAAATTATGTCCAACACTCTGACAAGCAATACAACTATGAGGAGTCAGACAAAATTTTACAGGAATTACCTGTTCCACTACAATCTCCCCCGGTTGAACCTCAACTCTTTGCATGCAATCCAACAGAACATGACATTGAGAATCAGTGAGTTTTCTAAAAAGAAAATGATCGTGCAAGGCCCGCTCAATGTGCGCCTGTGACAAACGAGGATGAGATGGTTCAAGAATAAAAATCACTACAAAGAAAAAATGAAACTGTTTTTTTCTTGAACACGTAGTTCTGCTGGCAAAAAGAAATAACCAGAGAAAGAAAGCTTACTTCTTCTTCCCAGGTTTTCCTATGACCCGGCGAAGAAGGAATCCACACTTGCCCATTCTCTAGAGAACTCTCTATGGCACGAAGCCGCGCCCGGGATATATCATGTCTTTCCCGCTGGTTCCTAGTGTTCCAGTTAATAGTTGAAGGAGACTCTGATCCGGACACCTCTATAACTTGGGGGACTGGTGGTCTTAGTACATCACCAGAACTTGCTGATTGACCAACAGCAATCTGGCAGAGGAAATAAGAAACAGTAAAATGGTTAACTCAAAGAACTTCGAGAAAAATAAGAAGCAATAATGCACCACAAAATTAAGATGAAGCCAAAAGGCTGGGTAGATTGGGAACAAGGAGCCCTCTTACATCGGTTAATCCATTTACATGCACAACTATCACAGTAATGTCATCTGTACGAGTTTCATACTGTAGCCAAAGTCTATAAGATTCAGCAACAATTGCAGCACAAGCATCGTGAGGATCCTTAAACTTTGCAACCTGTAAATTCAACAGCAAAGTAAGAAATTTTAACAGCGGAAAGAGAAAGGAGACACAACATTCCACAGCAACATTCCTATCAAGGAGAGGTCACGAGGAAGGAAATTTGAAAGTCAAGAAACCATTCTTGAGTTCATAAAAGGGAAATAAGAGCCACCCAACTAATGACCAACAAAGAACCTTGTTTAGCCAAAAAAAACCATTGCACTTTGTGAATGTCACGATACTGAAAGATGAAATTTTTTCCTTAGATAAGTGACTGATCCACTAAAGGAATCAAGGAGTGGCGCCTCATGAACCCATTATGAGCCACAAGAAAATACCCTACAGAAAGCAAAAAAGTCAAACTGGTAATCAGACCCAAAGAGAGACAGAGAGATCTACATTAAGATAAGGGTTTCTACAATTACCATTCCCTTCCATTCTAAACCAGCCTCTTGACCTACCAAACACTTTCCACACTAACTATTTGACAGCATGCCTTTTTTCCCTCTATTGACCAATACCCCTTCCACCAAAACCTGCTAACCCATAGTTTACCAAACTATACAACTCGTTTAGATTCTTTCTTTTATCTTAAACTAGGCACCTCACCAGCCAAATTTGGCCCTCCAGTCCATTTCCAATAACACCAGCTATCAAAATGCCCATATAACCCTATTTCTTTAACCAACTTTGGCCCTCCACCCATTTTCATCACCACCTGAATGTCATCCACTGGGAATTTGACAGGTTTCTTTTATGTGCTACGAAAAAGAGAATAACATGTTGCGCAAGCAGTCAAACCATAGGCAAAAATAAGATCCTATGCAATAGGGTATTCTAAGTATGCTTGATGCATTTCAAAAGAACCTTGAAAACTCTGCTGCTCCTCCATATAGCTCAATTTAACTACTGAAGACTAAGATAAAAGGAGTAAAAATCCTGAAAGATACTTCCGCATGCAACTAAAAATACTTTCTTTTCAAGTTTTCACCTCCTGAAGACTAAGATAAAAGGAGTAAAAATCCTGAAAGATACTTCCACATGCAACTAAAAATACTTTCTTTTCAAGTTTTCACCTCCCAACTCAACCTTGCTCAGAAGAAGATATAGGAAAATTAAGATTTAGTCCTCCTTTCAAAGAATTTTGAAGCAAGCAAGGAATCCCAAACTGATTCAGAATACATCCCCAATGCCAGAATATCTATGGTGAAGAAAAATTCAAAGTCGGAGTCAAGAGGCGAATTCAAAAGAAATTTAATCAATTATATAGATAAGGTTATACACGTTGTCTTGGCATACATAAATAACCAAATAACTATCACCATGCACAATAAGACTGGTTCCGTGCAAGCATAACCAGTGACCGGGCTTAACACATGATCGAAATGTTTTCAGCCATAGCAACCAAAATATAACAGAAAATCATGTCAAACATACAAGAAATTTAAATCCCAAACCAAAATAAGATTCAAAAAGAATACTTTACCATGTCAACCACGGTTTGGCTAGAAAGGAACTCGAAAACCCCATCGCTGGCAATCACAAAGAAAGGATGATCTTTTGTGACCTCTAGGACAACAATTTCAGGGTTCGCAACAACCCCAATTGTCTCAGCAATAGAATCACCTATACTTCTCGTAAAAGCTGTACCAGGATACATACCATTTTGTACCCAAAGCCTAGGAGGATCACCATCATCCCCTTCCTCAGTACCCCAACATTGCACCTCTGGATTCCTCAATCCTTCAATCTGATCCAAAGTAAGAACTCTTGCTCCAAACATCTTAACGCGTTCAAGTTCATCAGCACGGAATGGAGTTTGATCTATTGAAAGATCAACAGCTACAATATCCTTCCCTCTTTTCTCGGCTATAACAGCCCTTGAATCACCTGAATTAGCAACATAAATCGTCCTGCCCCGGACCAATATTGTAACTGCAGTTGTCCCACTCATGCTATCATCCAAAGTATCAGCATGCAACTGCGAATTTGTGGTCAAGAATGCATCATGACAAGCCTCAACAGCATCCACATGAAATCTACTATGTCGAAGCAAGTTTTCACATAATTTTCGCTTCACAAACTGCGAGCATTGGGCCCCAAATTCTCCATGCCCATCGAAAACCCCAAAGAAATGGTCATCAGGGTTTGTTCCAAAAGGAGTGTAAACGCAAAAACTGTCTTGATTAGCTTTATCAAGAGCATCTGGGTAATAACCTCTCTGAGATAAAAATGAATATCGTAATTCATAGTTTCCCGACGGAACATTAACTGTGCGCGACCCATCGGAGGGAAGAAACTGTGCAGAAATCCTAGAAAGCCTAGTTATAGCCACTTCAGAATCCCTTGTTATACCCAGCTGATGGAATTGATCTCTAGTTTCCCCTTCTTCGTCATCTGAAGAAGCAGGTGAGAATACAGGGATCTCAGCTGCTTTCACATTTTCAGTTTCTTTGACCTCTACATCTTTGGGTGCACATATTTCACCAATACAAGCCCTTGAATAAACACAACCCATTACTGAAAACTACAAACCGAGAGAAGTCCAGGTATCAAAATTGCCAAAAGATCCATCATATCTTTAACAACCTTTTTCGAATCTAACAATTAGTTGAATCTGTGAAATCCACAAACCACAGTCAATCATGGACTCCTTCACCAATGACAACCCCAGATCCAGAAAGGTCTAGCAATTACTGAGTTGTTCACCTAAAAGCAAATTCAGCAGGATTAACATCATATCTGAGAAATTTCATTAGATTTAATGTGGGCGCGTTGCTAATCAAATTCCAGTTCTGAGAATGTAATTGTAAGCAAAACTAAAAACCTCCAATTCAACTTCAACAATTAATCAAATGTATTACAAAACCCACAAAGCAGTCACTGAACTCAGCCAAACCACCCCAAATCAAGAATTTCAGAAAACATTTTTTTTTTTGCCTTCAATAGGTCTATCAATTACTGGAGGATAGTGCTCGAAAATGAAAATTCAATAAAAGCAATGCCAAATCGGATGAAATGCAAGAGTGTCGATCAGACACCACCAAAACATTGTCTATTCATATTCCTCAACATATCCCAGTTTTGAGAGCATATACATAGAGTCAGACAAAACCCAGAAAACCCAAAATACAAATTCAAGAAAACTCTTAAAGGCATTTTAATTTAATTTGAAAAGATACATTTGCAATTACGTTCTTGATCTATAGTTCTGAACAGCAGTTAATTGTGAAAACACAGTGGTTAAAAAATCACATATAATTGTGCATAAACGTACAGGTACACAATTATTGTTTTTAGAATAAAATGAAGATGAGAAGACCGTGCTTGAGAATTTAGAGAAAACTACTGAATTAAGAAAGTTAAAAACACCAGCAGACCCAGTTTGCAGAATCCACTGAGGTGTACTCTTCTTCCTCGGCAGCTTCGCGGGACGCAGGGATCGTAGTACGCACAACGGGAGCCGATCGGATAGAAGATGGGGTGGAGTGAGCTTAGCGCGTAAGTAATAGGAGAGAGAGAGAGAGAGAGAGGAGCAAGTGTTCTGTAGAACGATTATATGTCAGAGTAGGAGCGAGTGTGTAAATAACTCTTGGGAGAAGTTATTTATCGATTTACGATAATTTTAAATTTATTTATTAAATTATAGTAATTTTTTTTTTAAAAAAATGAGATCGTTCGTTAATGTGGAAACACGTGGTTGAATTGTGTGAAAGGAAAAATATTTTAATGCAACAGTGATAGCATATTTTCTTCTCTGGAGGTCGTGGACCACGCGCTTTGAAGGCACGCGCCTCCGTTGTTGACTGACTGACTGACCGACCGAAAATGGGACCCACACCAACAGAATTAGACGCAGAAACAGCGAACAGCGTAAGCCATTAAATCCTTCACTTATATGGGTCGGGTAAGCAACTCCTCCCACCGGTCAACGAGTCAATTCGGGTTTAATCCTTCACTTGTAATATGATTTTATTTCGAGTGCCATCTTCTTCTTTTTTGTTTACAAGGTGTTTAAATTTTTCCTAATCACTTTCTCGAGTTTTGAATTAATTATTGTAACTTGATTTGATTTAAAGATATGTTCTTTAAAAAATAAAGATAATTGACCCTTAAGAAGTTTGAAAAATATCGAAACTGAGACTTCTTATTTACAAGAGAACAGACTTGATCAATCGGCCTCTCATTTTGAATTTGATTTTGCACAAAGTGAAATACAAGTTTAATTCAAGTAAAAATTCAGTTGTTATATTGAAGTTTTGCAATTAGAGTTTGGATTCGAATTAGACCCAAGACCTAACCCGTGTGTTGTTACTTGTTAGAAATCTCAAACTTGAGATTCTTTTGATCAAATTCAACTTGAATGTTGAAAATTCCTACTCAAATACTGACTATTTTTATCTCATATTTCACCGTCCACCACATTGTCCATAGCTTTTTTGACCCATGGCTTTGTACCTCTATATCTCTCCCTTTCCATCTTCCTTGTCATAGTGGTCCTTGCAAATGCAAATATGTATATCTTTTTCTCTTGCATTTTTGGTTCCTCATCACAATCTAAGCCTCCTTCATGGCTTTTTAAAATCGATTTGGGTATTTAAGTTTTTTGTGGCTCTATACCATATTTTCTAGAATGATCTCTTGGGACTAAATAAATTTTTTTTTTTAAATTTGAGTTTATACATTAGAGTAATCTATATCAAATCAAAATTTTAACTCATATTTGAATAAATGTTTGAATTAGAATTAGAGATAGCGAGTGTGAGAGAAATTATAGATTTTAAAGTAAAAGATAAATCGAATTTAATCTGAATTTTGATTAGAGAAATTGAAAAGGAGTAGATAGCATAAACCATTCAAAACTCTAACCGACTTCTAGATGTCTCTCTCATTAGGTAAAGTCGGTATATACAAAATGCTTTCATGCTCAACAAAGGGTTCAAGGAAAGAATATACTAACCATATTAGCCTAAAAATAAACAATCTAACATACATTGTTGATCATTTGTCCCTTTAAATATAGTTTTTTTATCTTCTTTGTACAAGTCATGTTGTTATTTACTTCAATAACGTTATATTGACTATTTTTTTATATCGTTTTTATGTACTATTTTAACATAGATTATTAGATTAATACGTTCTACAGAGTTTATTAAATATTCAATAACTCTGATTGTATCACATCAGGTAGTGTAAAAGAGATGGTGCACAAACATAATGTCTACAACATTATTCTATTTGCTAAGGTGATATAATTAATCATAATACTTTTTATTTTAAGAAGTCATGCCGCTCTTTGCAAAGTGCTTCAAATTTTATAAAAATGTGAATTTGGATGGCTTGAATTTGTGCATTTTAGGGGTGTAATGTAACTCGAGCATGTTTAATGGATTTAAAAGGTTAATATGGACTCAACAAAAGTTACAAAAGTTAAACGTAAGGAATTAGTTTAGTGATAGTTTGATCACTTAATAGATTTCTTTAGGCGTTCACCCTCTTGGGGCCACTGTCCATAGATTTATCCGTTGTGTGGAGAGGCGATTTTGCACAAGACCCATCACTAATTTGACGAGTGAGCGGAATAACGCAATGTTGTGATTCACTCAAATAACTGGATTACCCAAAAAAAAAAAGTTATTCAGTTGTGATCCACTAGGATAACTGGGTTACCCAAAAAAAAAAGTTAAAAAAGTTTTAATCTAAAGTAGGTTTGTCAATGGATCGGGCTTTAGATCAGATTTTGATTGATCTGAATCTAAATTCGATTTTAAAAGTTTGATATGATAATCCGACAAATTTTATTTTTGTGATTCATATCTGAATCCGTTAACAGTCTGAAATTGATTCGATTTACTTAATTAACTAAATTTTAACAAATTACACTTACATTTCAACTAAAGTAGTACCTGCATTTAAATGGGGTTGAAATTTTTTGTTCAAATTTATTTCTAGTTCTAAAAAAACTCTTTCCAAAAAATATATATTTTTTAGATTGAACTTGGATTGAATCTAGGTTAACTCGATCAAGTTGAACTCCAACTAAAATCTAACCCAAATTTGTCAAACGGTGAGATTGGTGCAATCAGGATTGATTTGTATATCTAAGGCTCTAAATTTGCTAATTTGGACAAATATTCATCTTTTATGGTACTAGATGGCTGGCATAAATAATAGGTATGACTTTCAAATAGCACCATAATAATTTACAAGTCTATCCACAGAGAGGACTCAAATCCAACACCTTCATGAGGCTGAAGTGGGTTGATGAAATGAAAGTGATGCTTTTCAAAATGAGCAGGCCCCAAGTACTATCCTTAATTATTCTGTATTTTATGTATACAATCATTCCTATCCTTTTATTAATTACCACAGCCATGAATGCACACCCAACCTGAAAAAGAACTCCCAAGAGATTGAAAAATGCCACCTACCCTCACCCATGATCACATAAGCTTGATAAGTGCTCCCTTTTGCTATTGGGTTCCCAAGAAGCTTTTTTTTTTTTTTGGATAATGTGGTATTGTTTCGACCCGTCTCGCTTCTTTTAAACACATAGTTGTAAATTGTGCTATAAACTTATTCAGAAGTTATGTGCGTTGGTTAAATTTGAATTGATTTACGTCTCATCTCTTGTTTAAACCACGAGAGCAACCGGTGTGGATGAGCCCAATAACCAAATTGGTTGCCTTTAGTTTTATATTCTCAACTGCATTGAAAACTTTGAAGGAGCAATCATGCAAGCATATGGTGGGCATCTAATCACCCCTCTTTTCACATTGAACTGCAAAAATTATTCAATGAACTTTTGGCCACTAGACCAACAAAATTCAATACCAGCATTTATGTTATTCAATTGATTGAGCTACTGACCTAATTGGGAGTTTTTCGGTTAACGTGGACGGATTTAAACGTCCTTTATTTTAAAAGGGTCTAGATATTTCATTGGGAAAAAATATGAGTAATAGTATTAATCGAGTCAAACGGTACAAGTAATTTGATCACTTACGAAGAGAAAAAGGCTCCCACATTAAAAGGAAGAGCGGCACATCAACCACCCATAGCTGGATTGAGCATGTGATGTATGACATCTCATGTTACATTTGGTACATATTAAGAGCATAATTTCAATTCTTGAAGATGATGTGTCTGAACCAGTCTCATCAAGAGTATCCACCATAGAATGAGAATGATAGATTGCCTAAATCTTTATGCTGATTACCTACATGCCCATCTTCATCTCGCGACAGTCTGAACAAGTGCTTCATTTAGAGGTATAAAGGAGTCGAGTCGAGTCGAGTCGAGTCGGGTGATAGTTTGCTTGAATTTGACTTGTTTATCACAGGAGTTGAACATGAGTCGATACCAAATAACTTAACTTTTTATGTAATTGTGGAAAAAAAAATCAAGGTCAATCGATGATAAAGAATTACCAAGTTTAAAAATGCGCTTAAAATTAACTACTTTATTATTCAAAATAATCTCTAAAAAAAATTTAACGAGTCAAACCTCAATTCAACTTGATAACTAACATTAATTATATATTCAAGTGGCCATCCAATGAAAAATGGTGCAATAGTAGCAAAAGAGGAAGGAGTTATTGATCATGAAAAATATAATTTTATAGATAAAGGTTCTCTTTTTTTTTCTTTTTTTTTTATAGACGAAGTTATAACA